GCCCACATCTCTGCCAAGTTCTCCATTTGTTTTATAACTGCTTCAATGCTTTATTTGCAAAATATTACCATCCTTATTTATTCTCCTTCTCTAATTCCCCTTTTATCACACCTCACTGGGGTTCACTGTACTACACTAACTTATCTGAGTTAACTTTTGGATTGTTTTTTCCATCCATGACACAACTGTCCTGTTAATCATACAAAAAGTCACACAGTCTTCCTGGGAGCATCTCCTTACAAAACTAAGATCCCTAACTAAATTGCATACAGATATCTTAGGTTAACATTCAAAGTCCCTGATCAACTGGCTCCTTATTTCGCCCCTAAAACAACTGGGATCATTATTCCCACTATCATCAAAACTACCACGGTAATTCCCTTTTCTGTACTTTTGTCCCTACTGCTTTCCTTGCCTGGAATAATTTTTCTACTCTTTCCTGCCATTCTGAAATCTTATCTACCAATGTAAAGAAATCTTTATCAAGGGACCAGCATTTCAGCATAGCAGGTAAAGCCACCACCTACAACTCTGGCATCCCATAGGTGCCCCATTCAAGTACCAGTTGCTCCACTTCTGATCCAGCTCCCTGCTAATGGCCTGGGAAAAGCAACTGAAGACAGCCCAAGTGGTAGGGCCCCTGCTACCCACGTGGGAGACCTGGAAAAAGCTCCTCGATCCCAGCTTGCACCTGGCCCAGATCTATTTGTTGAAGCCACCTGGGGAGTAAACCAGCTAACTGAAGATTCGCTCTGTCTCTCCCTCTCTCTCTGTAACTCTTTCAAAGAAATATATAAATCTTCTTTTAAAAAAGTCTGTCAAATGTAATTACCTATACTCTGATTTTGTATATCAGTAGACCCTGAAATAACTTCAATTAATGTTTATCTGGTTCTAGTCTTCTGATTAGAATGGAAAACTTTTTGAAGGGTCACATTTTCATTTCTTTTATATTATATACAATACATAGATGTTGAAAATCCCAGAATTACTTCTTGAAGAAATCATCCAGTACAGCACCTTCATTTTTAAAGTAAGAAAAAACTAACTCAAGAACAAGTGGGGCTGGTACAGGTGGTTAAGCCACTGCCTGTGACCCATATGAGCACCAGTTTGAGTGTCCACTGCCAGTTCTGATCCAGCTCCCAGTTAACATGCATGGAAACACAACAAAGATGGCCCAACTGCTTGGGGTCCTCCTACCCACATGGGAGACCCAGATGGAATTCCAGGCTCTTGGCTTTGGCCTGTCCAGTCCCAGCCATTTCGGGAGTGAACCAGCAGATGGAAGATCTCTGCTTCTATAACTCTGCCTTTCAAATAATTTTTTTTTTTTTTTTAAATCTGAAAGAGGACATGCAATTGTTCACTGAAAAGACAAGAATCAAAATTCAGGCCACAATATACAATCAAATGTTGTATGACACTTAACAGGTGCTTGCTAAATAATCCCCAAGGTATAAAAATTGTTCTATACCCACACCCAGCATCATTACTGCAACTTAAAAGACAGTCCACACCTCATCAAAGTAGACTGCTTATTACACAGTATTTTCCACTACTCAACAAGACAATTAAGTCCTTTGATGATAACCTGATAATTATTTTTTCAAACCACAAATTTCCACAAAAACTCATTAAATATAAAATTCCATTCCTCTGCTTATTCCTTGAAATGTTAATATATAAACTGTCCTCATTGTATTAGACAAAATTTTACCTTAATAATTAGACAAAATTTTATCTTAATAATAAGATCAGGGTAGCACAGGTAGCACAAAGTAATATGAAATTATACTAATAAAATGGAAGTCTAGATAAAGAGAAGCAGCATTATTAAAAATGTCTTTATTCTTCAGTTAGAAACTATCTTGAGTTTTTTTTTACTTTAATTTATTATCTGGGAATAAACAATGGATCCCTTTACCCCAATAGTTCTGATCCTCAGTTTACTCCTAAGAAACAAACTGTAGTATTTCTACATAGAAAAAAGAGTTCTAATCTTCAGTTTACACCTAAAAATCAAACTGCATGTTTTTCCATGTAGAAAAAAAGAATTAACATCATTAAATCATATCACCACTATATACTTGGTACATAATAAAGTATGCTTTCCTGCTTATTAGTAAATATATCCCAACCTCACATTCTCCCCAAAAGCCAAGAAAAGTGTGTACTTGGTATCTTTATAATGATACTATTCTCTGATATATATTAATGTAGTAAACAAATTTATTTTGCTTTACGGTTTGCTAGATATTATTTGAGTCTTCAGATTTTCACTAATCCTTTTCTACAAAAATTAGATATCACATATAATTTTCTCACTTAGTATTTGGTTTTCAACTCTAGATAGATCAAGTTAATATAATCCTATACCATTTTGGAACTGCCCTTATTAATCAAATCAGACATGCATTTGGAATTCTAACAACATGATCCTATTGAAGACATTTACTCTCTGTTCTGCAGTTAAATGAAAGAGAAGACTTTACCTACAAATATACTTCTGTTCTAAAGAAACTTTTTAGGATAAAAATATCACAAGCTACAAAAGTAATATGAGAAGACAATAAAAAAAAACATAAAAGAAACCAATTGCAGTAGGGAAAAATACAAAAGAGCAAGGTTAATAAATGTAGTTGTAATAATCTGCATGTTAAACCAATATGGAGCTTTGGAATTAGAATCTATAAATTTAGATATCTAGTTTCAAAAATAACAAAGAAAATAACATGTCCCTTACACCACATATATAGAAAACCAGATAAATATAAAAATGTCTTGGTTATTTTCTACAAATCAGAGTCATAATAAATAATGCTCACCAGCTTATCTACTACTTAAACCTAACAGAAGGAATGACCAGGTGGTATTACTGGTAGTCAAGCCAATTTGCCACTCTAGTATATTCTTACAAATCTGATAAAAAAGAAGTGTAAAAAAGATTTGGTAACCAGTTTTCCAGACTGCATTCTAAATATAGTAAAGAGGTGTTAAAAAATTTATAATTGTAAGCTACAAATACAAGTTCACTTTCGTTCATGTAATATTTAACTGCAAAAATATATATATACTAAAAGTCACATGTAAGTGGTAATTTTGGACACTTGACCGTGGCTTTTAATGGCAATTAGCATTAAGTCTAACATCATAACTACTTTTTGTGACAATCTGTAATTATTCAAAGGCATTAAGATTAAGCGTTGTTAAAAAAAAGATTTCTTTCATAAAATCAGTCTTGTTGATGGTACTCTTTTATAATTACACATTAAGTTATAAAAGAGCTACATTGGTTATTAAAAAGAAAATATATATATATATGAGATCCCAAGACAACACTGGGGAAAGAGCTAAAAGAAAAGCAAAAATAATATACAAATAACTTATTTAATTCAACTTTTTTTCTTCTAGTCCAGTAATGAAATTCTTTTCTTAAACAAAATATGCTTTCAGTTCCAAAGAATCCATCTAGAACAATGCACTAGTCACTACAGTTTTGCTCCACACACAGTACTCACACTGACAAAATTTAACTTCATTTCCATCTTCATGAGTCTAAAGTAAGAATCCTAAAATAGAAGGTTTTAATCACTGGATTCAAGAGTAAAAATGTGTAAACATTTAAAAAATATTCTAGTCTCAACTATCTAGATATTTGAGGAAGAAAAGTTTAGATATATTGTCTCAGAAATTAACATTTTCAGATTTAGTTCATCAGATTTAATCGTTTAAATAAGTGGAACTGCACTACTAATTCTATGTATGTTAGACTTCACTTATAACAGTTGAACAGACCACATAAAAACTGTTATCATTTTGAAGACAGTACACTAAATCACAAATGAAACATAAAGCATGTCCTGATACCGTAGAATACTTCTTTGAAATAAGCTTGAAAGATCAGGAGTAAAATACTTGACACAATTTAACTCAAATGCAGATAAATCTAAAATGTAAAGGGATAAAACTTCTCACCCACTTCCATTTTTTTGACAATGTCTACTGGGATCACCTACTAATTTTTTATCTGTTCATTATCAGCACAATTCCTCAATAATATACGGAGGTATATATCCTACAGATGGCCGAACAAAGCATTTTTTCTGTTTAATTTTAAAAATAAGAGTATTTAGATTAAATATGGTTAAATGTCATAGAGAAAGCAAACACAAATTTTATTTCCAAACTGAACAGTAGGAAAGTAAAAAGCAGTCTCTATTGTTCAGGCTAAAATAATGATCTTGAAAAACATTTTTTAAAATATTTAACAAAATGCTCATAATAAAATTATCATAGTTAACACGTATCCAGGAAGATTCTTTTCTATACTAACACTTAAATGCAAAACTAACCTAATAGTTTGTACATGTACACAACAAATGTAGACTATAAAAGGGAAACTGTGCAGAGAGCACATTCATACCTACGCATTACACTAAAAAACCTCTAAAACTTGCAGAAATATTAACCCTTCATAACTACTCATAGAGCATCATTGCATTTGTTCTCTGCTAATGATTTTTCTACATGGACATGTTGGAAACAACCACAATCAAATTCAAATTGAACCTATAATTCATTAGAAAAACACACATCTTAAGTTCAATGTCCACCATGTACAATATTTTAAGAAGCAAATAAAATGAACATCGTACTACTATCTTTATGACTCTCCCTTAACATACCCTTTGCAATAGACCACTAGTATATGAGCACATCTATTTCCCCTCAGAAATGTCTAGCCTGTTGCAAAAAAAGTAACTAGAGCAAAACTTTACATTTCTATTTTGATACACATTTATCTACTATAAACTGAACATAGAGACATCAAGGCCACATACAACGCACAAGTAAGTATAATCAAGGGAAAAACAAACACCACACCTTGTCTTTGGAATTAAACAAAAAAAGAAAATTTTCTTTGGAACTTATCAGCAACACAGAAGGACTAAGGGGCACAGAGTAAAAATTAAAAAATAAAATTAAAGAAAGGATACAGCCTTAAAGCACCAGTCTGAGTTCCCACTGCCAGGATCTTCTGTACAGGATCAAAGGCCAGGGCTGAGGGTTGATAGGGGAATCCATGGCGCACAGTCTAGGGATGGGCAGGTGACATCACAGCAACCAAGGCAGCAAGCAAAATTTAAAAATAGAAATGTCAACAGAGGCATTAGAATTCAGAAACAACTGTATAATCTAATCGAACACATACACATGCACTTACTGCTTTACAATTTTTTAAAAAATGGAATCTACCTTAACAAAGTAATTCACATGGAACCTGAAATAAACAAACACCTCAGTGTGACACATTACATTCTGCTTTTCCTTAACACTGGTAGAAGAAAATTCTCATTAATATTCATATTAAGTCTGACACCAAATTATAAAAGTCTGCAGAGGTATAAAATTCTGTAAATTTGTTTTCAAGAGCAATCACTTTATCATTACTTTATTTGGATGCTAAATCCAAGTACTTCCTAGGAAAAGCTGCCATATAATTACTTCTGCCAAAATATTGCTAAAGCAATTACTAAGCCTCCACCCCAACATTTTTCAACTGTAAAAGAACGAAAATGGGTACAACATATACTCATATTTTTTGCAACTTACTATTAAGCAAATAATAATTTCAGGGATTTGGGGCAAAACATTTACTCTTTAAGAAACTCTTCCAAAGGAAGGCATGACTGTTTAAGAGGAAGGCAGCTATTAATTGCAAAACAACTTTGTAGTGCTCATTGAGCAGTGGGTGAATTAATTCGCTGCATCATTCTCTCTCAATTACGGCATGCTAAGGCACTCAGTGTGCCATTAATTGGCAAAAATAACAGTACTAACTCTTTAAAGAAACAGAGTGATAAAAAAAATCTGCGATTTCATAGTGTAAGCTCCTCCAATCCATTTTAAGGGAAAAGTGATGAACAAAGATCTGGTTGAACAGGTTTGGCTTTTGGATAAACAATATTCATTAGACACTGTTTCCAAAGGGAAACTTGGAAGTTGGTGAATTACATTAAAATGCTTGGCTATAGAAGCTTTCAGATTATTGCCAGCACTGTCAGGATACGAATTAAATGTTAGATAATGCGTCTGAAGCAACCTTGAACCGACTGCTACGTGTGAAAACGAGAGAGGGAGGGAAAAAAAAAATCAGCGAAAAGGAGTAAGATCCAATGTCCAAAATAACGCACCCAGGAAGCATTTGCTAGCGGTAGAGCCGGCCCTTTATTAAAGCTGTCGGACGCTCTCTTTCCAAGTCAGCGCCCCCCAAAACGACCCCGACTCCCCAAGACGGCGTCGGGGGCTGCGCGCCCGGCTCACCTTGCAGAGCTGGAAGTGCTCGGACTGGAGCGTTTCCTGGATCTCGGGCTCCCGGTTCCCAGGCGGGTGCTGCTGCTGCTGCTGCTGCTGCGAGGACGACGACGAGCCGGCGGTCAGCCCGTCCAGCACCTTCCTGATGTTGAATTTCCTCATGGTCTCGGCGGGAGGACAGGCGCCGGGGGTCCCCGGCGGGGTGGACGGGCCGGAGCCGAGGGCAGCTTCGACCGCGGACCCAGAAGAGTGCGAGTGTGAGGGGAAGGAGAGGCGGCAGCTGGGGGGTTGGGGGGGGAAGCAAAAGATAATCCGAACAGGAAATACTGCGACGACGAGAGCGCGGCGGCCGCGGGAACACCGCGCGGCGACCCCTCTTCCTCCCGGGCGGCTGCTGTGGCGCCGCGGCCGCCTCCTCGCTCCGCGGCCCGGCGGCGGCGGCGGCGGCAGTGGCGGAGGCGCCCGGAGCCCGCTCTGCCCAGCCTCACCTGGCCGCGGGCGGGCTCTGCGCCGCGCCGCCACCCCGGCTCGCCCCCGCCGAGTCCATGGCCCGCGGCCCCGCCACTCCTCGCCCGCCCCGACCCCGCAGTCCCCTCGGCGCGTCCTTCCCGCTCCTGTTCCTCCTCCTCCTCCTCCTCCTCCTCTTCCCGGGGGTCGACGGTTCTCGGTCCGCGGCCGCCGCTCGGCCTCCCCGCCGCTCAGCGCCGCTGCCCGCCCGGCATCGCACGCCAGGCGCCCGGGGTGGGTCCCCGCGCCGCCAGCCTCGCTCCGCCTCGCTCCTCTGCCGCTGGACCGGCCTGCCCTCGCTTCTTCAGAGCCCCGGCTGCCTCCCCGAGGCGCCGCCGCCGCCTCCGGCTCTCCCCTCCCGGCCGCTCCCTCTCGCCTGACAGGGCGCCTCGGCACACGGCACCGACCCCCGGCCGGAGCAGCGGCGGCAGCCGCGGTTACAGCGCCGGCGGTGGCGGTGGCGGTGACGGCGGCGGCGGCAGCTGGGCCTCCGCGGAGCGGGGCTGCTGGACATGGCATTGGCGCAGCAGCTTCCCCCCCCCCCCAGCCACCTCCACCCCCTTTTTGCCCCCCAGCCCCAAAGCCCCCAGCCGGAGCGAAGCCGGGGCTTAAATTATCCTCCTCGCAAATCCCAGACGCTGGCTAAATTTCTGCCTCCGCGATGGCGCTGCCAGAGTGTGCAGCTGCTGCTTCTGCAACTGGCATAGTAAAAGTGTTGACGACTAACAAGCCGCAAGAAGAGCTTCATTTCGGATTCGATGAGGAAAGCGGGGGTTTGAGCGTTCACCCGCTAATGAAACACTGGTCCTCCCCGCCCACCCCCACCCCGCGGCCCGGGGCTGCAAGACCATTCTTGCTGCTTTATTTTTGGTGGGCTTTGTGTGGGATTGATTGGGGTTTAGGTTTTGCCAGCGTCTTGGCGACGATTATGTCAGGGGCGAGAGGATGGCAGACGCGGCGAGGTACTGGGGGAGAAGCGGAGCCTAGAGGGAAAACGCGGACTCTGCCCCCGAGGCGGCTCCCGGGGGTGGAGCGCGTCTGGCGGCGGCAGACAGCTGCTGGGCCGACCCGCGACCCGCCTCGCCACCCGAGCCCCCGGCCCGCCCGGCGGCGGGGACCCCGTGCTGCCGCTCATTTTCGGGACACGGGTGCGCGCTGTTAACGCTGAGGTCCTGTCAGTAACGCCCGGTGTGCTCTCCACTGTGGAGAGGGAGACTGGATGAAGTTTCCGCTCCTCGGAGGCCGGGAGACACCGTCTGGGTCAAGTCGGGAGAGGCTGACAGATACCCCCCGCACAATGCGTTCACTGAGGAAGGGCGGTGGGAAGCAGAGGGGCTGCAGGGCGTGGAAAATAAGAGACATGAGGGAGGGAAACAAAGAGGAGCTCCAACTTGGGAGATGCGGGGAGGACGGACGATCTATGGGCTAATAACTCCTCTCCCTGCGGTCCTGCGAAAAGACACACAACAGCTTCTCGGGGTTGTTTTCTGTTCCGAACCGAAATCAAGTGCCCGCCCACATTTTGGGATTGGTCCTCTCCTGCCCCGGGCCCTGTAATTCTCCTCAAACGATTGGCTGAAGTGACCTCTCTTCAAAGCATTCAGCAAATCAACGACGAGTGGCGCTCGTGCATTTCGGGAAATGTAGTTCGACGGACTTCCGCATCCCGTGGAGGGTGTCTTATGCATAACTTTGAACTCGCAAAATGTTTCGCGGTTTAACATTGATTAATTCACTGGGTGCAACGAACAATAAAACAGATTTGAAGAATTTTTAACACTAATTTAGCTCTCTGAACACAATCAGGTGTGTGGCATTGTGCTAGGTACTGGAGACATAAAAACGCAACTCTTGGTTTCAACAAGCTTACCACAGTCAAAAAGGAGCGCCTAAACATAAATAAGCCAATCTGATAAATTTAGAGGCCACTTGGCTAGCCAGGAGAGGCTTGGAGATGGGAATAGTTGAAGCCAGATAAGTAGTAGCTGATCAATGAAACAGAACCTGCAAGAAGGTCTGACTAGGGTAGGGAGGGAAGCACTGGAATTGCCTGGAGAGATTTTGTTTTGTTTGTTTGCTTGTTTGTTGGTTTATTTGAAAGGCAGAGTTACAGAGAGGCTGAGGTGAGAGAGAGAATGAGAGAGAGAGAGGTGTCTTCCATCCACTGGTTCACTCCCCAGATGGCCGCATGGCCAGAAATGCACCAATCCAGAGCCGGAAGCTAGGATCTTCTTCCAGGTCTCCAATACAGGTGAAGGGGGCCCAAGGACTTGTGCTTATCTACTGGTTTCCCAAGCCATTACCTGCTGCTTTCCCAAGCCATAGCTGAGAACTAGATTGAAAGAAGAGCAGAAGTACCCATATGGAACGCAGGCATCACAGCAATGGCTCAACTTCCTGTACCACATGGGCCCCTTCATTGAGATTTAAAATAAATGTGTTGGGTAACTTGTCATATTAGATTATGAAACTCTTTGGACAAAGGACGACTTCTTTCTGAGAGTTCTTATGATGCAGTGGAAAACTATGAATTCCCATCCAGGCATTGATAATGTGTAAAATAAGATTCAAATTACCTTCTTCTTTGGGTTTTATAAAGATAAACTGGAGGGGGAATATGGAAAGAGTGTACTACATTGCTTAGCACACTGTAGATACTCAAAAATGTTAGTTTCCCATTCTACTTTGAGAGTCCTTGAAGTGAAAGGGACTTCAAAAGGCCACCAATTAAAATTAGTTCCCTAATTTTACTTTAGAATTATTTATTTACTTACCCTATCCCTCTCATCAGATACGGAAATATGCTGGCATTTTACAAACTTCAGTTGTTAGAGGATCCCTGTAATTTAAGGTAAATACAGGTAGTTAGCTTTATGAACTTTGATTCCATCCTCTCTAAGCTCAGGGATACTAGGACATTTCCAGAAATGTATTTGATTTAAAAAATCAGTATGCTATGATAGCTACTTTTTGATAGTAAAAATAAAGTTAACATGTAATTAAAGCCGGCGCCGTGGCTCAATAGGCTAATCCTCCACCTTGCGGCGCCGGCACACCGGGTTCTAGTCCCGGTTGGGGCGCCGGATTCTGTCCCGGTTGCCCCTCTTCCAGGCCAGCTCTCTGCTATGGCCAGGGAGTGCAGTGGAGGATGGCCCAGGTGCTTGGGCCCTGCACCCCATGGGAGACCAGGAAAAGCACCTGGCTCCTGGCTCCTGCCAGGATCAGCGCGGTGCGCCGGCTGCAGCGGCGGCCATTGGAGGGTGAACCAACGGCAAAGGAAGACCTTTCTCTCCCTGTCTCTCTCTCTCACTGTCCACTCTGCCTGTCAAAAAAAAAAAAAAAAAACAAAAACATGTAATTAGACTAATGGAATTTCTTCTAAGTAAATTTCTATGTATCAATTGGATTTTAAAATTAGAATTGAAAATTTATGAATTTAATTTGAAATTAAAAAATTCAAGTTTAGAACACAGTGAGTAAAGTTTTAATAGTTTCTGTTATTCATCTTGTACTTTAGCACAAAGCAGATGATTTTACCCTAACAATCACCCAACAAAGTTTTATTTTCATGAATGAATCAATATGTTGATTCCAAGACATTCAGTAACTTAGCTTTCTGCCTTTGGGCAAGTGACATTCTCCCAGATGGAATTCTTCTTTACCTGATTATTAAAGAATGAATCAGAACATAATTACATAACAGATAGATTCTGTTTGGCTGAGTTGGGGTAACACTAAACATTACAATGAAAAGAAGACAATTGGGGCTGGCTGGCATTGTGGCAAGGCAAGTAAAGCTACCAGCTGCCATGCCAACATCCCATATGGGTGCCAGTTTGAGTCCTGGCTGCTCCACTTCCAATCCAGCTCCCTGCTAATGGGCTGAGAAAAGCAGCAGAAGAGGGCCCAGGTATTTGGACTCCTGCCACCAATGTGGGAGACCTGGCTGAAGTTCCTGGCTCCTGGTTTTGGCCTGGGTCGGCCCTGGCTGTTGCAGCCATCCGAGGGTATAAACTAGCAGTTGGAAAATCTCTCTTTCTGTTTTTCCCTGTCTCTCTGTAATACTGACTTTCACATAAATAAATTTTTAAAAAATAAAATTAAAAAAGACAAAGAATGCACACACACACATATACACACAAAGGCAGTCCACTAAATTACCAGAATCTTCAAGCCTGGGAAGCTGAAGACTGAGAATCTATAACAGTCCTGCATTTGCCATTCCTGATAATCTAGTTTAAAAGTTACCAGACTAATAAAGGCTCTGTCTCAGAGAAGTAATTAGAAGCCTTCTGTGATGAATAACATAGAAAGTGAACACAAATATCTTAATAAATAATTATTTATTGACAAAAACTTTCTGGAAAGTAGACCAAATTTGCCTCACCTGCTGGCATTCATTTTTATTGGCTTAATTTCAGTTCATCAAATCCCAAAGGCTATGTAAAAGACAGTAATTGATTCACTACACCATTTAACAGAATATTGAATTTAAATTACTCATAAATTGGAGCAGAGATGGTAATTAGTTAGTATGCCTTGGTCACGCCCCCTTTTTGAAACAGGTTCCCTTGTTCCTGCTGAAATAATGAGCCTGAACAACCATGTTTTAATCAGGTGACCCTGTTTTCTGGTTCAGACTGATTGGATCAGAGGTAAATACCTGAAATTAGCTGAGCCAAGAGATCATCTTCTGGGAATTTGGAATTGAATTATACTTGCAAAATTGCTAATCCATCTGATGCAGGAGGAAATCATGGAGAGCTTGAGCTGGGTGGCATGTTTAACTCAAAGTACAATGAAGCTGAGAGCAGAAGGAATGTGGGAAAATGGGGCAGACACAAAGATGACAGGACAGTGACCACCAGACACCCCAACAGAGTGGAAAGTACACTGTCTATTCTAGACTTTCCAGTTCCCAGTTCTTACTTTCTGTGAAATATGGCTGTACTTTCTTTCCTTCTTTGTGAAGATTAATTGAGTAGGGTTCTGGATTTTACAATAAAATATTTTCACAAATTTAAACAAAATGTGCTCCCAATGTATGAGAATGTAGAGTGGCAGGTATTGTGGCACAGCAAATTAAGCCACTGCTTGGCAGCCTGAATCCCATATCATAGTCTTAGTTTGAGTTTGTACTGCTCAGCTTCTGATCTAGCTCCCTGCTAATGCACCTGGAAAGCAGAGCATAATGGCTCAAGTACTTGGATTCCTGCCACCCACATGGGAGAGCCCAATGGAGTTCCCAGCTCCTGGCTTCAGCCTACCGCAGCCCTGACTGTTGCAAGCATTTGGGGAGTAAATCAGTGTTTGAGAGATCTCTATCTCTTTCTCTTTCTGACTCTCCCTCTTTATCTCTCACTCTGACTTTCAAATGAATAAAAATTTTAAAGGAATGTAGAGATATCATAACCATCTTTTCCCTGCCATTTTTCCTTTGCTGTCAATTCTCCCTACAGTTAAAAGACTGCTGCAGTAATCGAGCCTGGAGTTAGGGGCTTGGGCCAGAATGGTTAAACATGGCAGTGGATCAGTCAGATTCTGGATTATATTTTAATGATAGAGCCAAGCGGATTTGCTGGTGTTGTGGAGGGGTAGGGGAGGGAGATAATCAGAGAAAGAAAAGAGGCAAGGATGACACCTTGAGTTTTGGCGTGAGCACCTTAAAGAGCATTATTGCAATTTAATTTCCAGTTGCCATTTGTACCTTAGTAAACTCAACAATTATCATAAGCTTAAGAAACAACAATAATCAGGATTCACTGCATTGTGATCTTTTTCAAGCTCTGGCCTTTCTAGAAAAACAGATGAGGCCGACATGAATGAGTTTTTTCTGTTTCATAGATTACTTCTGTCACTGTTTAATAGTAGATACTTTCGCTTTTCACCAAGATGGCGCTGAAGGCGAAGAAGGAAGCTCCTGCCCCTCCTAAAGTCGAAGCCAAAGCGAAGGCCTTGAAGGCCAAGAAGGCAGTGCTGAAAGGCGTCCACAGCCACAAGAAGAAGAAGATCCGCACGTCCCCCACCTTCCGGCGGCCCAAGACGCTACGCCTCCGACGGCAGCCCAAATACCCTCGGAAGAGCGCCCCCAGGAGAAACAAGCTTGACCACTATGCCATCATCAAGTTCCCCCTGACCACGGAGTCGGCCATGAAGGAGATAGAAGACAACAACACACTGGTGTTCATTGTGGATGTCAAGGCCAACAAGCACCAGATCAAACAAGCTGTGAAGAAACTCTATGACATTGATGTGGCCAAAGTCAACACCCTGATCAGATTGGGATCATCGGAACGGAGTCCAGCTGGCTAATTCTAAATATATGTTTTTTCACCATAAAAAAAAAAAAGTAGATACTTTCATTAAACTGTAAGTAGAAATACCTAGACAATGGTTAGTAAGTTTGAGTATTCCAGAAATACAAAAACAAACAAAACTAATAGAATTAAATGCATACTTAAATGTAAAATGTGAAGTATAAAATACTTAATATGTGTGAAAAACTATGTCCAACTGTGCGATTCCTTAGCTGATTACTGTGGTAACGAAATAACTGAACCGCTGATTAAGCTGATATTGTGCTCTTTGGTTCACCTTCGCTACTTTCACTCCAAACCGCACCCTACTCTCCATCAAAATAAACTCAAATAAGAACAAGCGTATGTCACTGTACCAATGCTCTTTGACTGATGCTAGTTTCTGGCCGAATAAATCCATAAACCGAAGATACTTTAAGTAAAAACGCACATCATGCCCACCCCCGCCCTGCCCCGCCCTGCCCCTCCCAGGAGCACTTCCGCCCCGTGGAAGCCGGAAGCCGGCTGAGTCCCCTAGTGACCGCGGGGCAGCCTGGGAGCTGCGCCGCTACTTATGGCCGCCATTTCCATAGCGGGCTGGCCAGTGCTAACGAGGAAAAGCTCCGAACTCGCAGTACCAAGTAATGTTTTCAGTGAGCACAGATGGCTTGTGCCCCATCTAGAAGAGGCAAAGTGGTAAGTGGAGCCTCCTAAAAGGTATGCCTTTTGAGGCGGTCAAGCACTACAAGTTGGGTTCTGAGGGAATTGTCAATGTTTTTTCTTGTTTTTAACTTTTGATTTCAGGATAGTTTTAAATTTACGAAAGAAAAACTGTCTAGTATAAAGAGTTCTCGTAGACCCAATTGTGGACTGTCTTAACCATGCAGAAGGACAGCAGTCCCCCTCTCTGCACAGGACCTTGAAACGGCATTCCCAGCTACGGAAAACTATTATCTACTGCACTTCTGTGTTGTTAAGAACCCTATTCTGCCTTCTGATATATGCACCTCAAACACAAGTGTCTTTTACAATAGGAAAGGATATTTTAAATGTTGCCTCCGATGGGAGTGATTACCATATTACCGTACAAATTGTATGCCATCTGAACAAATGCAAGTTATAACATCAACAAAAGCAGATAATTTATAAACCAGGACTCTAAAGATTTAGCTATATTTAAATCTTAACTCCTGAAGGAATTCAGTTGTTTAACTTGTTTACTCCTCACACTTTTATCCTGGACAGAACCACCTGCCCAGTCACTATTTTCCTTAGTGTAGCATATTGCTAAATATTATTTGTACTAGGATTAGGATTAATTTTTGGTTAACAAAGTTAAAAGCAAAATGAAGAATGAAATTTAAATTTTAAATAAAATCTGTAGGTCAGGGAAAGGTGAAGTTGTTGCCTCTAATGGGCAATTTGGTTAGTCGTTAGCATGTAAGGCATTTAGGAGATCCCAATCACCTGTTTTTCATGAACAGAAGGTAGTAAACTGGAATAATAAGGTGTTTCTCCCCAGCTGCCCAACTCAGTGAGAATCATGACCCAAAAACTAGTATGACACCCCTGAATGTAACAAGGTACCAAGAGTTCATGTTAAGCGTATAGACAGCTGTAAGCGAACATCTGTATCCTTTGGCTGTGGTGTTTCAAAATACTTTGTTGCCTCAAGTGCCACATTTTGAAAAGAGAATGATGAACATTCATAATTTATTGATGTTAGTAACCTCATTGTAAATTATATAGAAAATACTTTTAATTGCTGAGCAATAATGTCTTGATTGAACAATTTGATTTTCATGGTCATCAGTGAGACCTTTTTATTTATTTATTTATTTTGGACAGGCAGAGTGGACAGTGAGAGAGAGAGACAGAGAGAAAGGTCTTCCTTTTTTTTGCCGTTGGTTCACCCTCCAATGGCCGCTGCGGCTGGCACGCTGCAGCCGGCGCACCGCACTGATCCAATGGCAGGAGCCAGGTGCTTCTCCTGGTCTCCCATGGGGTGCAGGGCCCAAGCACTAGGGCCATCCTCCACTGCCTTCCAGGGCCACAGCAGAGAGCTGGTCTGGAAGAGGGGCAACCGTGACAGAATCCGGCGCCCCGACCAGGACTAGAACCCGGTGTGCTGGCGCCGCTAGGTGGATGATTAGCCTAGTGAGCCGCGGCGCCGGCCAGAGACCTGTTTTTAACATTTTAAACATACTTTAAGGATATAATGTTCTTGGCTGTCAATTTGTTTCTAACTGGACACTTACCACACAAAGTACTGCCCTTTTTCTGGAAAATAGGTCAGTAATGAAGTGCCAGCATCCTAACAGAAGCCTGCCTAGCTCATCCCCTCAGGGTAGCCTAGGGAGACAGCATCACCTTGATAAATAACCAGTGCTTTCAGTTTGGGCACTGGGCTGTCCACAGGGCTGTGTCACCTCTTAGTCACCTGATGAGAACTTTGAGATATCACCTCTCTTTTCTTTCTGGTCAACCATAAGGATTACAAGAAATAAGAAGGATAGACACACAAACCTAACATAAGGGTGAATGAGACAGTTCTTTCTCCAAGGACTATCAGAACCAAGATACAAGAAGACGCAACAAGAGCCAAAACACAACAGATGCTAATTAACTCTCAGAGGCTTTCAGCAGAAGATGGAGAAGCAGCCCCTTCATCCTTGGGGCTGAGTTCTCCCAAATAGGACCAGATGTCTAATGTGAAATCCAGAATGCATTCCTTGACTTTAACTTTTGCAAACCCTACAGACTTCTTTCAAATTTTTTCCCTCAATCCCTGGGTCAAACATTCTCTACTTTTTAGTATGTTTCCAGCTTTTTGGCTACCTTCTGGCATCCTGTTAGCTGCCCTTGCTATGCCACTTTATTATTCTGTTTTCACATATTTTTAGTCCCAATTCTACCTTTAGTGGCCACCACATTCTTCCTGGTTCTATGACCAGTGGTACAAACTAGGTTCCTATGGACATGCAACTTTCAATGATAAATCTCCATTAACTAATGTGCAAAACCATCAACACAATGGATATAAAAGATACTGACTATTCCTTGATAAACCTGGGCTTTTTAGTCTCAACAATCACACACATACACACACACACATACCTAATTCCCACAGCTTTTTTTAAAAGAACAATTTAAATATTTCCTGAAAGTTTTTATGGTTACTTTTGAAGGAAAATAAAACACTTGGCATAGGAAAATCTCCCCAGGTTTCACTTGACTCATTTGTCTTTCTACTCCACTTTATCCAGGCTAATGACAACTTTTCAAAGTCCTCTGACCCTTTCTTGTCAAAAAGCCCAAGCTTTGCCAAATGGCTTACTTTCTCCGTATTCTTCTTTCTCTCAACTCCTTGACTTCTTCTCTGTATATTTTTAATGTATCATCATCTAGTCACTTCACTCTGTCTTTCAGCTGATACCCTCAGCTAGTTGGGAAAAAGAGGAGGGAAGCCAAATAGCCCAGGAACACAAACAAAGCATATTGTTCACAGAAGCAGGATTAGGAATTTGACTGTTTATCCTTTAGTAGTTTAGTTCCACTTCCTGACATATCAGTACACTGAGAGAGAAAATAGTCATGATATTGGGAACACAGAGTGACTAAAGGCAATAGAGCAAGGGAGAAACAGAAGAAAATGTAGTGCTGGTACAATTTCTAAGAGGAATAAGAATCTGAATCTTAGGGTTTATGTTCATCTGCCAGTAGAGTCGTCTTTACCATTCCATTCCACAGACATTTGCTGCTTGCCATTAAGTGACAGTTACTGGGCTGGACGTTGTGCAGAATACAAGGATGATACAACTTTGTTGAGGCACACAATGAGATAGCTATATAGTGGTAAGGAAGCAAAATTCAGCTTCAGAGGTGCCCTTTTATTGTCCTGAATGCTATTACTATATGAGCATATCATTTCACTCACTCCACAGCAACCCTCTCCCACTGAATAAGTACTCATCATGATTGAACTTTGTCTCAGACATTGAGTTCCATGGATGTAACACCTGGAGTTGGGAATAATAGAGGATGAAGGAGGAAAGGCTCTGGAATCAACAGGTTCCCTGTTATTCATCCACAGCCTCCCGCTGGGTTTCATTTAGATCAGAGTGACCCAAATATTTCCACCAAGACATAATCTTGTTGAACAGGCCCCAGATACAACTTCCCATCTAGTTTCCTCATAACCGTGAGGGTGTAACCACAGGTGTGGCTTCATAATTGGGTAAGAGGAGGCTTTCACATTTGCATACGCCTTAGTCCCTGTTCCTTCACCATGGAGTGATGTGCTTCTTTGGAACTTAGTAGTTATGCAGAAGGCAAGATCCTTTCAGCTCTGGTCTATAGGAAGAATAGGAAGAGGGATATCAGGCTTTTCTTTGCTCTACATTATTTTTTAGCAGTTAGATATGGCCATACTTTTGAGAAGATAATGAAAACAAAGTAGTTTGAGACTATCAACTAAAACCTTTTGCTCAGGGCCAGTATGTTTGTAAGGGTAAAAATGTAATGCTGTGAGGTTTTAGGGACACTGCAGGTAACATCTATTGATGAGTAACATTATCTTCCTTGTGATGTTTCACATGATTCATATTTAGTTTTCAATTATGATGTTAGTTTCCTCTGAGTTCATGTATTATTTCCTTGGCATCCTATAAGAGTATCCAAACAGTGCCTAAAATGCAGTGCACATCAGTGATACATATATTCCTTAGAAGTGGGGGCCTCTTGTTCTGCTCTTAAACTACAGATGTTCTGCTTATTCATGGTGAGAGAGTTTGTTAACTTCAGGAAATTGATGAGGAAGTCCCATGAGAGCATTATCATATTTCAGCAGTCTAGTGGTTTCCTTAAAGAGGCGTATATCTCATTGTAGATGAAACTTAGAGGCGAGGTGCCTACCTGGGGGACAGTATTAGTCTAAATGTGCACACATTTGGGGAATTCTACCCCTTATTTAACTATTTAAATCTTCCCAGCTAACATTCACCCTTTTGAATTTTTATTTTTTATGTTATGGCATACCACAGAGG